AACAAACAAAAAGGAGAGGAAGATAAAGTATGGAAAAATAAATATTAAGTGACCAAATAAAGTGAACCCATATATAAAACTGTAAGTTCAGAAATATAGTTTATGTGTCACTCACCACCATCATGGAGAGATTACTGTTGATCTGAGCGTTATACTCTTTAACCTTCTGCTGAATCTCCCCGACACTTAAACCCTGTTTACCCAAATCGATCTGTTCATCCTGAAATGTAAAGAACGGGGGAAAAAAGGGGTCACAAGGTTTCAGCAGAAAGCGTGTGAGCTTTCAGGATGAAGAGAAAGTGATGAAGCAGAAGAAAGAGTAAAATAAACAAACTCTATCATCTCAAATGAAGCAATGCATGAATCAAAATCACTAAAAGCAGAAAGTGGAAACTGCTTTGTGCCTCAGGAATAATCAGCTTTTCCACTGCTTCCCCGTTGACCCTCTGACCTTTTGAAAGAAAGATGCACATGCAGTAAAATACAGCTCCAGCTCCGAGCCACTGTCCTCTGCTGTATTTCCCAGGGTCATTTTCTCCGAGGTTTAGATGAGCGGGACCTTTGATGTTTTACTATTTCTGTCATCCACACTATCTTAGAATAATCTCCAGATCTGTGGGTCCAAAATGTCTCTGCTGTCCTTTGTCTGTTTGGAGAAAACTGATCCCACTAACAGCTCTACAGCCCCAGCTTTCCCATCAGCTCCTCCCTGGCAATAAAACTTCACAAAGATATCTGAAGGGGCCGGACCACTCCCACTCCCACTCCCACTGAGATCTGCTAAAATATTTTATTTAAAATATTTTACTCATGTTATTGTTCATGTGTGAAGAGAGTGTAAAAATGGATTATGATACATTACAGATGGAAAAGCATTTGCTCTTGTTCATATTACTCATTATTGTCCATATCATGACTCAAACTGTCCAGTTCTGGCTTCGCTGAGGGTCGAGCAGAAATAGAAGTATTTGAACCTTCAAAATAAAGACATATTTACTTGTACATTCTAAAAAAGAGGCTTCCGAACATATCAGCAAAAACAACAAAAAGCATGATCTTTGGCATGACTGGCTTTTCAATTTCTACACAGAGATTCACTCTGATTTTGCATGTGTTTCAAATCAGTGAAGTACTGCAGCAAAGTCAGTTTGTGAAAATGACAGCTGTGAGGTTGATCCGTGCATAATGAGCCAAAAATATGAAATATTGATGACAAAGTAATCGAGCCAAAGCTCATTCATTTGGGGTTGATACATGTAAAAAAACAGACTTTAAATCTGGTGAGTGGTGGTTTGTTGATCACAGTGGTGTCAGTATTTTGCAGCTCTGTAATAAGGACATCTGTCTTATTTGTAAGTTGTTAAGTTGTCCCCTCCCCTCAGCTCTCTCCTCAGTTACTTTCTGTATAGAGGCCTCAACAATGAAGAGGTAATAAATCTAGTATCTTTGTGGCACAATAAAACACAGCAGACAGCAGTGGGCAATCTGGTTGACTCCATCTGCTTTGACCCGCCCACCCACACAACACTAACAATGAATTATTTTATTTCTACAACGATCATTTTGGCTTGGTTGGTTATTTCAATCTTTCTTTGTAAATAATCTTTAATGTTTGATTGAAGATTGATTGTATCTTCCTGGAGGACAGTAATGCTTTCTGCGTGTGTAACCGCAGCTTAATTCCTCACCACATTAGTGTCTGTCTCGATGGCGTCAACAGAGAAGTCTCCCTGGTGTGTGAACAAACCTCCATCTGTGCTGCAGTCCAGTCGGATAAATGGTCGACAGCGGTAGTGACAGGTGTAACTGCAGTCTGAAAGAGAGAGAGAGGAGAGAGAGAGATAGAGAGAGTATAAAAGGGCGACTCATCAACACTTGTGGTGTGGCACCGTCTGCTCTGGATTTTGTTCAGTAATCTGTCTTTGTCCTGAAAAGTATCTCCCAAAATCACACTAACCTAGATGCATAATCTGTGTTACATAAGCAACATACCAATGGTTTTGTATTTAGAAAATGAAAATAGCTAATGTTAGATATTCAGAAGCTATTTTCATTGCCGTTTGTCTGACTTTTAGCAGGATTATGCAAAAAATACAGAATCAATTTTCTCGAAACTTGGGTGGATAGGGTTTGGGCTGAGGAAGAACCCATGAACTCTTGCTATTGATTGAATCAAGGAGGCTAACCCAGGATTCTTTTTACTTTCTTTAACTTTATATTATAATAATGCAGAGATCTTGATTGAAATCTTGGATCTTGGATTTATATCTGTGTGCAGTCTGGTGCAGCTTGAATATAAGGGGATGTGCTCTGTTGAGTGTCATCTAGTTTTTTCCAGTTGCTACATTACTTCATATCTTTTGTTAAACTGGGCTGTCAACGTGTCACAGTTACGCCTAAAGTCAAACGACACAGAGAAACAAAGACATTCACAAGTGCTGTTTGAACCAACATGCAGTTAAAACATGATGTTACCAGACCTATCGTTCCACAAACCCTGATAAGGTTTCTCATGAATGGAAAACACAACATGAGCATCCTGCTTCTGGTGATACTGGAAGCTGGAGAGGGAATATTTTATGAGAACTTTGGATGAACATGGAGCGACACAGCTGATTCACTCTTCAATGTTAAGATTTCTTTACCCATTTTTTATTCCAAGGTTAAATTACAGAGAGGTTGATCATTTAGTTTTGTTTTCTATAGAAAGGAAGCAATGGTTCACAATGTCTATTATTAATCCTATTGGCAGGAACAGCCTGACATGCAGATTTAGTGGCTGGTCGCCTGTTTTTTCTTTTTAGGTCAATGCCTACAGACAAAAACATGTTTTGCTTGTACACACCAAGCATTAAGCTGCTTTTATACCATGTTTTCCTTCTCGACATGAAAAAAAGGGCAAACGCCTTCAATGCGTTAATCTTTCTCTGGATATGTTCAGACCATTTTCATACTAATTGTGGCTCGAAACACCAAGTCCATTTAAGAAAATTAATATTCTATTGCTATGCTATGCTATTAATATGCTAATATGCAGTATACTTTTATAAAAAACAAATAAATAAATAAAATGTCAATATAATTACAGCCACAAATGTTATTGTCTGGGTCAATGGTGTAAATGTTGGGGACTGTTCCGCTGTAGATTTAGTGTGCAAGTTATAATTTGCTGCAGCAGGACAGTGTACGTGGGACTGACTAATAATTAAAGCATCTATCTACCAGCAGGTCAAGGAAAATTCTTTATGGTCATATTGTTTTGGTTTTTTCATGGTATTTGTTGACAATAAGAGTAATATATAATATCACCTAAACTATAAAATCACAAGGATCTCTTATCCTTAAAACACATTAAATTAGATTCATATTCAGAAGTTACTCACTGGTGCAGCGTAAACCCTGCTTGTAGAGACCCCAGATGAATTCTCCACACAGGTCACACCAGGTGGGGTGAGCGTGACTGTAGACCTGGAAGTCATGACCCACTCCAGTCTCTCCTGTCTGACACCCGGGTGCCTCGATGCTGACGCTGTCTCCAACCAGACGGACGACGCTGAAGGAGCAGGGCTGAGCCGATGGTGGGGCGCCACGGGCCGCAGGGGCAGCCAGCTCGATGGGATCATTCAGACTGAGGTCCTGCAGCTCGATCAGCTCACATTTAGACATCCTGTCCTCGATGGAGACACTGACATGTCAGTGACATACGGCTCTGAGAGGAGATGGCATCAATAGGAGCACCTGAACGTCTGTATTGAAGATGTGGATGTTGTGAGTGGTGAAGTGTACACAAGCACCACGTCAGTTTATTCCATCCACTTCCAGCTTTGTTTGTTGTTGAGGAACAATCAGCCGCGAAATCCTTAGGACCTGCAAGACAGATGACACTTCTAATACATGCATGGGTCAGTTTAACATACAAAAAACATGCAACACACATGAATTATGTTGCATTATGTTATAGGGTTTAACATTGAGGAAAAAAAGATGAACCTCTGTTATCTGATGCCATGATCCATATGATTATGTTCAAATATGGGACAAGATGTTGAGTATAATCCTGTGCAACCCAGAGACGACACATCTGTTTTTCTGCACCTGACAGTGAAACAAAACTTAACAATATCATTCCTTATCCACTAAAAATCATTTCAAACTAATGAACCCACAGACTATTCAATGCTCTTTAAATGTTCACCAATTTATATAAGTAACCATGACAATGACAGTCAACTGAATTATCCTTTACTTATCAATAATTAACTTTTTGCTGACACCTCCACAAGTTATTGTTTCCTGGATGTTTGTAATAAAGAACTACGCTTCAGAGAGAAGTTAAATCTTTTTTCCATCACTGGTGACAGAACAATCACAGACAGGGAATAACACAGGAACACTTCCTGCAAATCTAAACAGAGCTTGTGGTTTAACATGTTCGCAGACAGGTGCATGTGAAAGTTAGTGTGACTCGTTTCACTGTGGAGCTGCATATTGTGACTAGAATGTGAACAAGCCGGGATGTTTCTGCCAAGTGGGTCACCACCACCACCACCACCACCACCACCTCCTCCAGCAGCAGCAGCAGCAGTACACGGTGCATTATTCCCACAGGCCAACAAGAACATATTGTGACCGGGATCATCCTGCAGCTCCTGACACTTAAATGTTAAACTATGCTCGTGTGGTAAAAGACAAACTTAATATTTCATCTCTCATTTGTTGCAAGAAGCATCTGATCCTGTCCCGGGACAGCCCGGTTTAAAGCTGAGGTCTGGAACAGAGCAACAGTCTCATCTGACAGTGACACACATGACACAATGAAGCGTCAAATAAACGATCTTACCTCGTTCACTTCTCCATCATGAGCTCAGAGCAAATGTGTGTTAGTCGCAGAATTAGAGCAGAACCTCTCTCCGGTCTCACGCACTTGTGTTTGCGCATGAGTGCGGATTACCGTCTAATCCCGTGTGCGCATTAACCCGTCCTGACAGAGGCTCCACGGGAGGACACTATGAGGAGCCACAAGGGACAAAACTCAGGACTCCACTTACACATACATGTAACTGACATGTAGATACATACACATTTACATGCATGTACATACACACAGTGGTGGAATGCAAGTACATTAAGAATTGTTGGATTCAAGAGGGTTTTTATGTATCAGTACTTTATCTGAGTACATTTGTCACTTTATCTGTACTTTCTGCTCCCCACACATTGTGTGACATGTTCACATTGATTTTTAAAAGTGATCGATAATTAGAGGGGTGTGGGTTCAATGATCCAATCAGAGCAGATAGGTAACATTAGACCCCGCCTCCTGCAGCAGCGTCACTTGTCAAGAAGAAATAATCTGAAATGGATTCAGAGGAGACCAAACCTCAGCCATGTTCATGTAGCAGACGTTTGCATTAGTCTTTAGACTTTTCTTACTTTTCTTATTGTAACTTAATTCAAAAAAGAAAGTACGAACTTACTTTTATTATTTAGTACTTAAAATCTTGAACTGATCTTTGTAAGGGAGGTAAAATGTGCTGGTAATAATGCACATATCTAGATTTTCCACTCTTGTCATAAATAAGTTCAAATATTAGATCACTTACACTTTCTTTTACTCTAAGAATAAATCAATCATGTGTAGGATTGTTGCCTTGACAGTTTACTCTACTGAGTGCCATTGTAGTGGAACAAGTAAATGTAATGTAAATAGCATAAATGAAGTTCATAAGGGGAGTTGACAACTAATCAAAATTGATTTCAAAGTTTCCACATTATTAAAGAACTGAATGACCTTGAAAGGATCAGTTTTATGTACCTGACAGCACTGAGGTAAATCAAAACACTGTGACTATATTTTTTACTTGAAAAACAAACTAAATGAGACTTTTGCATCCAAACGCTGGGCTGCTAATGACAATTTTCATCGTCGACTAATCTGCTGGTCATCAGCTGAGACACACATATTATATATGAGTGTGTGTATATATGTTTTATATGTAGACTCTGATTCTAAAAAGATACTTGTAAATCAAGATTGAATTAATGTAATCAACTAAACCAAACAATATTTAAAATATATAAAGCCAATAATTGTATCAGAGTTTAATTATCAAGTAGCACAGGAAATGCACAATAAAGTCATTAGATACATTCTCAACATGGGACTCTGAAAACATGTCTGATTTGGAAGTAATGTTTTAGTGCCATCCTCTGGACAACACATGAGGAGTGAGAGAGAGATTGAGAGAGAGAGAGAGAGAGATTTTCTGAATGGGCATGTTGTTTTTTTTCTTCATCTGTGTAGCCAGTGTGGTGACAATGTGCAGTCACAAGATTGCTAGAGAATAATTGGAGCACAGCAACCAGCAAACAGCTGACAGTGAGTATTCACTGAGTTATGAAATGAATGGTGTTAGTCAAAGACACCACACCCCCACCCCACCCCCATACATACGGTTTATCCTTAATTTGTCTGCTTGGGAATATAATTGTGAACTATTATTATTATCATTATTATTATTATCATTATTATTATTATTACTGATAAAACCTGCAACATTTGAAATAAGTTGCTTTTCTTCTTTGAATGTTGAGTGTATTAACACTAACTGTGCAGCTCCACTCGTGACTGACCCATAATAACCTTGTCTCAAGTGTGTGTGTGGTGAATCTCCAGAAACTTTCCACGTCAGCCTGGACAAGGTTCGTCAATTCACGATAATGATACAGGAAACTGGAAGACTTGTGGTTTCACAATAAAGGCGTGGGAAGGATGCTTGCTGCATGTACACACTTTATATAGAGCATCAATTTGATTTTAAATAGACTATTCAGTGTCAGAAAATTGATTAATTTGATCCCAGTAACTTATATATGGTACAGTTGTATTTAGGAGTGGTGGTGGATTAATATAACGTTTTACACTGAAAAATCGAAGCGGAAGTGTGGCTTGTTTTCTTGAAAACAGCAGATGAGGAACTGGAGACTTGTGAGAAGATGTGTTCACGTGTGTGTGACAGTTGTTTGGTTGTGAAGGATTCTTTTCTAATTCAGCCTCCGGTGTGTGAGTGAAGCAGGACTCAGGCAGGAGGAGTTCACACTTCACATCCAGCATCAGTTCCGGTTTCAGCTGCAGCGGACTTCACGCTGGGTAGCAGCAGGTTAGCAGCGTCCATATTTCTATATTTATAAAACACGTCTTTACCTCAGCATGGTGGTAGACAACAGAGAGCCTGAGTCTGAGCCCCGGATCTACGGGTTTACCAGGAGAGCTTCAGCTGTGTCCACGCACTTCATCTGCATCGTTTTCAGCCTCTTCATCGCTCTGATGTCCAGACCTGGCTCCAGTGAGTGATGCCACACACACACACACACACACACACACACACACACACACACACACACACACACACACACACACACACACACACACACACACACACACACTTTATGTTGCCCCTGTGTTCATCCTGTGTGATTTCATTTGACTTCCTTCATGTTGTTCTAGGTTTGTTTTCCTGGCATCCTTTCCTCATGACACTGGCTGTGAGTTGGAGCTTTCAAAAATAAATGTACTCAGCTGTAAACACGTGAAATCATCAATACATACAATACATATATACATAAATAAAGAGTATGTCGATTGATTGGTCCAGGGCTGCTACTAAAAAAAGACTGAGACTAAGATAATAGTAATTAATTTGACTCAATATGGGGAAAGATGCTGTGTTAGCACTAAAGGGGATAGTTATGATAGAGACATCGCTGAGACATAAGTAAAGATACTTTATAAACACGAGGAAACAGCTGTAAAATTAGAAAATATGAATATAAAAGGATTGTAACAGGATCACATGTATGAAATTGAACTAGCAAATAATTATTGCACACTAGAGTTGGTAAATCATTTTTGCTAAAATCAAGATATATTAGGAGCATTTAAAACAGAAAAATGTCCACAATTTTATGCGATCAACTGATTGATTAATCAAATATATGTTGCAGCTCAACATTGGTTGATCAATAGAAAATGTCTTGGCAGTTATGTCACAGGAAGTTATTTTTAAGTGAAGAGCAGTTTAAATGTCATTTCCTGTCATTTTCAAATAACCTAGACAATAATGGTCACATGATCAAATGCAATCAGTTGACATATTTTTCTTTTTATTTCTTCAGTTCTCCTTCTTCATGACAGAAGCCATTCTCCTCTTCTCCCCCCACGGCTCCCCTATCAAAAGTTTCTCACACAAGGTCAAAGGTCGTGTTCACTGGATCCTGCAGTGCCTGTGTGTGTCCTGTGCGGTCCTGGGTCTGGCAGCCATCTCTTACAACAAACACCTGAACAGTAAACCCCACTTCACCTCATGGCACGGTCTGCTCGGCCTGCTCACGGTGTGCGTGGTCGGGCTGCAGTCTTTGGCAGCTGTGCCTCTCATCTACCATTCCCTGGTCAAAGGCTGGTCCCTGGCCAAACTCAAACGCTATCACGCGGCCTCCGGGCTCATCACGTACCTGCTCGGCAGCATCAGCCTGCTGCTCGGCCTCTGCTCGGCCTGGTTCACAGCCTCTGTCGGGGAATACACCTGGTACCTGTCAGCACTGTGCCCGGCTGTCAGCGCCCTCATCATAATGAACCAAGTCACCAGTGCGTACATGGCCAAGAAACGTCTGCAATACTGACATTTTTTTCAGTCTCATACAACCATTTGATTTTCTGTAAAAGGAGCTGATTTCTGCAGCTACAGACTCATATTCCTCACAAGGAGTGTGGATAATGAAATAGCTTTCTCTCATTGCCTTTTTTATACAATGTAGAGGACACAGAGGTCACACGTCTCTGTAATTTGGGGTTTTAGGTACGCCCCAATGACCTGAAGAGTTTTTATTTAACGGTTACGCACACATTTTGATGTTCCATGTTGAGCTTTTTTGGTTTGTTTGGCAGCTTCTGATGTTTTTAGCCATGCTAGCTTTAACTACGACCATGGACTGTATGTACTACTATTCAGACAAGAAGCCAATACATCCTGGATATGAAGGCTGATCTTTTGCATTTGGAGCCAGATTCTGTGCAGTAGCGATGGAGCCACAACAGAGGTCCAGTTGAAACATCCTCTCAACCAATCGCGAGTCAGTCTTAGCAGTCAATCAGGACCTTTCACTTCCCTTCAAATGAGTAATATAACAATTGGAAAAACTACAGTGATAAGAACTACATAATCTCATTTGGCCCATGTCACATCCACTAACATGGAGGAGTTGGAGGAATTTATGTCCTATACTTGAACCAGCCACCAGGTGGCGATCGGGAGGATTTAGCTTTACTTTTGGGGAGCAGTCTTGTTGTCCATCTTTATATAATGAATATTTTTAATGCTTATTAGCAACATTTTAACATGCTCACAAGCCACATTAAAATTGTGAACCAGGTAAACATAACATGTTAAACACCAGTACGCTAGCAATAGCATTTTGCAAAGAATTGTTTCCTCTACATTCTCAGATCTGCTAGCATTGCTGCAGACGCAATATTGTTTTAACCAACAACTTTAAATGTGCCAGATTTGAGCAAAAAAAAAATCGGTAAGTGAAATAAAAAATGGTTTCAATATTCTCTACAGACTGAATAGTGTGAGGTTGGTTTTGACACATCACCAAAACTTTTTGGCAGTCGTAAGAGATCCTATAGTGAATCATGAGCTCATCCTGGCTATGTCCTTGAATATTTGTTGATCTCAGGTTGAATTTTTGTATCTTGTATTATCCTTCCTCCTGGTTACTGACTTAACCATGTCTGATGATGTCATACTAAAGTTATGTCCAGATTAAAAGCACATGTCAATGATTCACACTGCAGTAAGTGTTTTATTGTTAAAATAACATTGATAACACAGTCGTATTCTGCTTTGATCTAGGCTGCATGTACGAAATTCTTACTGGATCAGCCGTCAATGGGTCAAAGTGAACAAATGTTTAAAAAAGTAATAGCAAAAAAAACAAACAAAAAAAACAACCCCAGTATATTTTACATAAATAAATAAACTTCAGACTTACACCGAAATACAGGAAACAACTGTCATGTGAGCGAACACCGATAATTAAGTTATAAAAAACAATTTTTAAAAAAATGAAATGTTCCCATGAATCACAAACCAATGCACACAACTGACAAGAATGGGGTTAGAAGGGGATTTCTTTTATGTACTGATAATTTTTATGATTCATATGTGTAGTGTTTCCAACGGATAAAGACTGAAAATAAAGGTCAGTATAATGTACCAGATATGATCCGAGTGCCAGCTCCACCTTCACATCTGAAAACAAAGCAACTCACAAGTTTCCAAGACATGTTGAAGAAAAGTGGAGATGTCTGATGATAGAAATAAAGCATACATGATGATAGGGAAGGAGCCGGTACAAAGTAAAACTAAAGGTGAACAGTACTCAGACTGTGGGGGCAGAGGGGCCCCACGAGAAAACGGAACTACAAACATGAGCATTCGTAGGGAATAATCTGCTGTCTGAGGTTATCCAGTGTTTTCTAAAGTCTTAACCACTGCATCGAACCTATTTACTTAACGGAGGAGAGGGATCTTCCTACATCTAAATACCCCAAGGTGTCATCACAACACAGAAACAAGGCTACAGAGAACAGCAAAGACTTAGACTTCCTAAAGCACCGCAGATCAACACTGACCGACACTACTGACGATAGTACACTGCACTGCATTTAGGCAAAACGCTACCATATTAATGGCACTGTCAGTTTGGTAAGGCCGCCACACAACCCGACACAGTTCTGCCAACGTCACTGGTGGTTGTAATGAAATCTTATTCATGATGAATTTGATGTTTGGTGGATACATTGATTTAAGGTTTTATACACTCAGGCTGTACAAATGCAAGTTTCTACAGTTTAGGTAACCTGTTCTCAAGAAAATGATCAGTCGTAAATTTCATAATGAGAAATACACTTAGCATGTAGGTGGACTCAGCGATGGTAAATCAACTCATACTGAGGACACACTGGGTTTGTTTGTGCGCCTTTCAGCTTCCACACTTGGTGCTTTTAGTCATTATGCTGAATCTGCCCCAGAACTGTGTTTTGAGTTTGTCAGCGACTTGTCTCAATGCTCAGTAGATCTTCTTCTGTGATGCTAAAGACCCCTTTGTGTTATTTAAGGCTAAAAATGAAAGAACACAGTCTGAATCCATGTCCCAGCCCCTGTGTTGTCAAAGGCTAACATGACGGTACATTCATTTTGGTTAAAAAAAAAAAAAGAAGAAGAAAATTACAAAGTTGAACATAAATTTGTTTGCCCAGCACTTGTGTGAAGGCGTGTTTATCGTCATGATAGTCGTAATAATAAGCCTTCTCCCTATGACCAAAATCTACACACTGCACAGTATCGACTTGCAATATAAACAATGATAATGACTGCTATTTACAAAGTATCAACATGTTAAATTATTGTTTCACACATAACATCTTTTCAACAGGGGATGCCACAATGTCTATCAAATTGCTAAAGACTAAAATATGCTCTGAAAGCCTAAAGTTTCTGTTCTTTAAGGTAAACCCTGAAGAATTTTCTCTTCATATATGAAGTGGATTTTGACAGATATTAACACCATTGTTTTTACCCTCTGTGACCCATTTATTTTACACTTATTTCTTACACTTAGAAAACTGAAATAAGTAAATCAGTGTTCAGCAGGTAAGTTTGTCTGACAAATCTGAAAGCACTTGACTGTTTCCCAGCAAAATATATGATGAGAAAATCCAACAGTTTTGAATAACGTTACTCCATCTGAATTCAGAAGAAATAAAACGGCACAGCGAGGCCTTGCTTACAAATGCAGCAGGTGAGGCTGTGCTTAGAAAGCCACCTAAAGCTTAAGCTGGTCCCCAAATTACATAACGTCTGTTCCCACTGCTCCGATGCTCCAGGTGAAGTCTGGGATATTCAGCATTAGGATTTGTTACTGTGACTTTGTAAAGTCATGAAGGTTCACGTTGATTCTCTCTTAGGTAAGAGTCCATGTGTTTGTGAGGGAAGTTCAATGAGACCATAGAGATGGGAATTTTATTTCCCTGACAATTAGGTGAGTGATGCGTTGTCAAATTTCATTGTGGCTTTTTGCTACTGATAGTTATTATTTTTATTCACTTTTTTTCCCCTCTTGATCTCCCTTTCATTTTGATTAGCTCAAACATTCAAAATATAACATTACCTCTGGCCATCATTAACCAGCTTATGAGTTAGGGTAGATACTGTAACATAAATCATTTAATTTAGTAATGTAAACACGTAATTATTCCCATCCCTTATGTACTTTGTTAACTATAACAAGAGTTTGTGTGAAACTGCTTCTCCGTGACTTCACAAGTCGCTACTGTCCCATCACCTCTATAACATCGTCATCCGAACTACTGCCGCCGTTCTCCGTGATCTGGTGTCTGTCTGGTTGGGTCAGAGCTGCCCCCAACAGGCTGGAGGTGGGATTGTAATGAGAGAGGAAGCTGGACGTAGAAGAACTGGAGTTAGGAACAGGGTACCCCCCTGACCCAGAGAGAAGAGGGGTAGGGAACATCCTCGGCTCGGACAGCAGTGACTGACTGTAGTTGAGGGGGAAGCCTGATGAAAGCAGGCCAGCCATGTTGTGGTTCATCAAGTATGGGGGCAGAGAACCTGGTGCCAGGGAGGAAGAAGTTGCTGCTGATGGTGTCGATGACATGGGGACTGTGGTGGAAGGAGAGGGGTAAACAGTGGACAGGGAAGAAGAGGAAGGGGTGGGAAGGTGTCCATTCCCTGGGGCAGACTGTCTCAAGAGGTCTGAGCCTGCAGAGGGGAACATAGTCTGTAGGTCGGCCAGTGTTTGTCCTGGTGTCTGAAGGAATGATGATCCACCGCTGCCACCCATTAGAAGTGGGTGACTCATGTGCCCTAGGTTACCCAGAAGGGAGGAAGAGTTCAAACCCATGGGAGGAAAACTGAGCCCACTGGAGCCCATGGACAGTCCAGGGAAGCGAGCTGCAGAAGAGGTGCGTTTGCCTCCTAATTGTGTGCTTCCCTGGCTTTCAGTACTTTTGCGTTTGGTGCCACGCATCTCTAACGCCGAGCTCATGAGGTTGTCACTGTGCTGCCTGCTGAGATCACTTGTCAGATTGTTTTGAGAATTGTCCCCATCCCCTGCTTGTATGGCAGACACAACTGGGGGCGACGGCAATTCGTTCCCCATGCCGGTGGCCTCGTCACCTGTAGATGAAGCGTAGCGGCTGAGTTCTCTGAGAATCTCAGCGCTCAGAGGAGAGGAACACTGTTCCCCATTGGGGGAGCGCTGCTGCTGATCAAGAGGGGATGAACAGCCATTATTCACTGGATGGATCAGGGAACCTTGGGTATCTGGGGAGGGGACAGAAAAATACAGTCATGATAGGTTCAGAAATACAAAAACTCCACCCACAAAGTTACAGGAGTTGTTTAGATGTTTGTAATGCAAAACTAAGTAGGTTAAATTATGGAAGTATTATAATTAATATGAATTTGTACCTCTCGAAGCAGCAGAGCCTCCAACTGCTGGTCTACTTATCTTTCCTGATCGAATAGCAAAAATCCTTCCATCATTTGTCCTAATGTAGGTTCCTGTGTTGGAGGAAACAAGTGTTTCCATTTACTAAAATTATTCATAAGCAGAGAGAAATTGTTGTGTTGCTTTAAATACCTTTAGATCCTCTGATGACATGGATGCTCTCTCCTGCACTAATGCGAGCTTGAACATCCGTTGTACTGTTGGCTCCTGGGATTACAATATCTGTAGATCCAATCAAAGAGGCTGATGTTAATGTCTGGTCATTACATTTCAAAACACAGAATTCACTTTGCTTCTGTTGAAAGAGGAAATAGTTCAGGTGATTTAAACTATAACATAATGGGTTTTACTTGGTATTTTCAGTGGTTCAAGATTTTTCAAAATACTACACATTACCAGTTGTGGTGACAATCCTCTGCACATAGACTCCAGCTTTCTGCAGGAAGTTGACAGGCAGGCTGCCGGCTGAGCTAGAGCCGGCCATGCCCATGCCGACCTGGCGAGGCATCATGGGTATTGGGGTTGACTGGATGGGCCTGACACTTGCTACAGGTTTGTCATCCGGCCTTGCCATGGGACGCCTGAAAATATGAGCCCTCAACCAATGAGATGAACTCACACACACACACACATACTCAAGCAGCAGCAACAAATATGTAAGCTTTAACCTCAATCAAACAATTCAATTAATTGTAGATTTTGTTTTCTGTGTTTGCCAGTAAGCAAGGCAGAGTTAGCTCTAGATTCTTATGGGGAGTGTGACTTTTGATAATGTAAGGCTGAGTCTAGGGTGATTTAGATGTTTCATGCATATGCTCATGCACTGCAATATCAGGCAAACTCTCAAAGCCAGACTGTAGTTGAGGATATGAGCTAGTAATGAACAAAGCTAAACTGTTAGCTAACTACTGAATAAAAGGAGGGCAAGATAAAATGTAAAGTCTGAAACTCACCAGCCCCGTTGGTTAAATGCTGGTATGTTTGTGAGCACCTGATCACTGGTTGGATAATAGGGTGCATACGAAGGGCGGGAGTACGGCACAGAAGCTCGTTTCTCGTCTTCGTAGCTCTTCTTGGCCGCTCTTTTCTCCGCTTTGGTCAGTTTCGACTCCTTCCGGTCCACCAGCAGAGACTCGTGATGGAAAGGTTGCTATTGACACATGCGGAAACAAGTGAAAATGATTCACAGTCTATATAGGATTCACAATATTAATAAAATAATCATGTTTCCTTTTTTTCCCCTTTTCCTCTCCTG